CCCTGGCATAGAGAGCCATCCACAATAGAATAGGGCATTGACCAGTGAATGCTCAACAAAATAGGGCATTGACCTGTGGATCCCTGGCATAGAGAGGCATCCCCAACAGAATAGGACATTGACCAGTGCATCCCTGGCATAGACAGGCATCCCCAACAGAATAGGGCATTGACCAGTGAATCTCTGGCATAGAGAGGCATCCCCAACAGAATAGGGCATTGACCAGTGAATGCTCAACAAAATAGAGCATTGACCTGTGGATCCCTGGCATAGAGAGGCATCCCCAACAAAATAGGGCATTGACCCAGTGGATCCCTGGTATAGAGAGGCATCCCCAACAGAATAGGGCATTGACCAGTGGATCCCCAACAAAATGGGGCATTGCCCAGTGGATCCCTGGCATAGAGAGGCAGCCCCAACAGAATAGGGCATTGACCAGTGAATGCTCAACAAAATAGGGCATTGACCTGTGGATCCCTGGCATAGAGAGGCATCCCCAACAGAATTGGGCATTGACCAGTGGATCCCTGGCATAGAGAGGCATCCCCAACAGAATAGGGCATTGGCCAGTGGATCCCCAACAAAATGTGGCATTGCCCAGTGGATCCCTGGCATAAAGGGGCATTGACCAGTGGATTCCCAACAGAAAGGGGCATTGACCAGTGGATTCCCAACAGAAAGGGGCATTGACCAGTGGATCCCCAGCAGAAAGGGGCATTGACCAGTGGATTCCCAACAGAAAAGGGCATTAACCTGTGGATTCCCAGTATAAAGGGTTACTTACCAGTGGATCCCCAACATTGTTGTTTGCGGAAATAACCATTTTCATCACACTGGGGTACCTTTGAACCAACTGGATTCATACCAAATCTACCCATTAACTTCTTGACCTCTTTTGTACATGGCCCTGCAAGAAAGCATCAAACAGAAAATTGCAAACAGAGAATTGAAGGTACATATAAGGATGTAAAGAAAAGATTACTCAGTGTTAATGATAATTAACTTATACATGAACTGGTTTACCACTGTTAAACTACTGTAGAATGCTTTATTTTCGCTTGGAATTAATTTTCGCTATTTTCGCTGAAGAGATGATTCCGTGAAAATAAAATCCAGCGAATATACTTTTTTTCCTATATTTCACATTAGACTCATCAAAAATCAGTGAAAATAAATTCCATACAAAATGCCCCAAAAACCTTTTCAGCGAAAATTAATTCCAGCGAAAATAAAGTATTTCACAGTAACTTTATACACAAGAACAGGGGCTCCTAGCCTTAAATTCCAAAAATGTCTATTCCTATCCTGGTCAACAACAAATCAGGTTACCAAAGTTATTTAACAATTTTGAAGGCATATTTTGTCATTAATTATACACAACTACAATTCAATCAATTTTACCTAAAAACAAAAGAATAATAAGCAAACTGGTAAGAGGTTAATATCAATGAGAAAAGCACACCAGTTGATCAGTTAACCTTACCAAGTTGTCTTCTTTCATGAGTAACATCATCACAAGAACTTCTATAATTTATTTGTATGGTTGGATCATCCACCATACAAGCAACAAACTTTAGCATACATTCATTGCTATAGGTCTCACCATCTGTACCACATACAGGATCATATTGTCTGGGACATGGACCACAATCTAGTAGAATAAAACATTTCCAACAGTGGAACAACTTAACAACATTACCAGGTATTAAAAACAATCCAAACAAGCAGCCTGACGGCTGAGATAGCTCCGCTGTTAGCAATGCACAATGCAATTAAAGAACAGAAGATATCATTAGAAAATGAACAATATGTATAGTATCAAAGCAATCGGACTTACAGTTTTTAACAAGAAGTCGAAAATATCACTTTCTACCAAAAATGACCAAAATATTCACCAAAATTAGAGAATTGAAGATATCATCACGAAATGAACAAATCTAAGAAAGGTCTACATGTAGTATCTATATAGTAATATCAAAGCAATTATACTTTTGGTTTTTAACAAGTCGAAAATATCACTTTTTACCAAAAATTACAAAAATATTCACCAAAATTAGAGAATTGAAGATACCATCACAAAATGAACAAATCTGAGAGAGGTCCACATGTAGTACCTATATATGTAATATCAAAGCAATCGGACTTGTGGTTTTTAACAAGAAATCGAAAATATCACTTTTTACCAAAAATTACAAAAATATTCACCAAAATTAGAGAATTGAAGATATCATCACGAAATGAACAAATCTGAGAGAGGTTCACATGTAGTACCTATATATGTAGTATCAAAGCAATTGGACTTGCGGTTTTTAACAAGAAGTCGAAAATATCACTTTTTACCAAAAATGATAAAAATATTCACCAAAATTAGAGAATTAAAGATATCATTACAAAATGAACAAATCTGAGAGAGGTCCACATGTAGTACCTATATATTTAATATCAAAGCAATTGCACTTGCGGTTTTTAACAAGAAGTTGAAAAT